CCTGGCCCATTTTGATGAGACATTACCGGTGGTTTTGGCATGCGATGCCTCGCCTTACGGGGTCGGGGCTGTGTTGGCTCACCGTTTGGCCGACGGCAGGGAGGTCCCGGTCGCTTATTACTCTCGAACCCTTTCTGCGGCGGAGCGGAACTACGCCCAGATCGACCGGGAGGGTCTCGCAATTGTGGCCGGGGTCAAGAAGTTCCACGACTACATATACGGCAGGCCGTTCACCATTGTCACAGACCATCGCCCGCTCCTCGGCCTCTTCGCGCCCGACCGCCGGACGCCGCAGGTTCTCTCGCCGCGAGTCCTAAGGTGGACTATTTTCCTCGCTGGCTACAATTATCTGCTCCTGCACCGCCCCGGGAAAGCCATGGGCCACGCGGACGCTCTTAGCCGCCTCCCACTACCTGAGGTGGTTGAGGACCCGGCCCCAGCCTTCCGGGTCCTTCAGCTGGAGGGCCTGCCGGAGGCCCCGTTGCAAGCGCGGGACATTGCCCGCCGCTCGGCTCGGGACCCCGTGGTATCCCGGGTTCTGGGCTGGGTGGTGAGGGGGTGGCCTGAGAAGACAGACCCTGAGTTCGCGGCGTATGCTACCCGGCGGGACGAACTTTCTGCACACAAGGGATGCCTGCTATGGGGAGACAGGGTCGTGGTCCCACACGCATTACGCCAGAGGGTCCTCCAGGCACTGCATGAAGCTCACCCGGGCATCGTCCGGATGAAAGGGCTGGCAAGAAGCTACGTCTGGTGGCCCGGCATCGACGCAGAGGTGGAAGCATGGGTCAAGCGTTGTCAGCCCTGTCAGGCGGTGAGACCCAGCCCACCGGGGGCACCAGCGCAGGCGTGGGAATCCACCCGTACCCCGTGGTCCCGGCTCCATATAGACTTCGCAGGGCCATTCCAGGGACGGCTGTTCCTGGTCACGGTGGATTCCTACTCAAAGTGGCTGGAAATAAGCCCCGTGGCTGCAACGTCCGCAAAAGCCACCATCCGCGCCCTACGAGGACTCTTTGCCACACACGGGCTGCCGGACACCATCGTGTCGGACAACGGGACGGCTTTTACGTCCGAGGAATTCCAGCAGTTCCTCAGCAGCAACTTGATCCGACATGTCCGGTCAGCGCCGTTCCACCCCGCAACCAACGGCCAAGCGGAGCGAATGGTCCGAACCGCAAAGGAGGCCTTGAGCCGGATGGTGGAAGGGGAATGGGAATGCCGCATCGCCAGATTCCTCCTGACCCAGCACACGACTCCCAACCCTGTCAGCGGAAGGTGCCCAGCAGAACTACTGATGGGTCGAAAGCCAACGATCCTTTTGGACCGCCTGCACCCCGACCGGGCCCCCGACCAAAGAAACGCAGTCGAGCAGAGGGAAGCACCAAGGGGGTTCTTCCCAGAGGACCCGGTTCTCGCCAGAAACTTCGGCCGCGGTCCGGAGTGGATTGCGGGCCGCATACTCCGGCCCCTGGGTACCGTGATGTACGAGGTATCCATGGAGTGCGGGCAGATATGGAGAAGGCACATCGACCAGCTCAGACAGCGAGTGCTACCGGAGCCCCAGACAGATGAAGAGACGAGACAGCAGACGGAACCTAGCGAGACCACACCCGAGGCGACTGCACAGGACTTGCCAGCCGAGGAGCACCAGGCACAGGACCCCACGGCCCCAGCTTCGGTCGAGGAAAACCCCGTTCCGGAGGCGGCGGAAGCAGGAGCACCAGCTCCCTCTTCAGAACCCGGCCCGGAGGTCGGAATTCCGGAAGCACGAGGGGCCACCCCTCGACGGCCAGCTAGAGTACGAAGGTCCCCATCGTACTTAAAGGACTACGTGACTTAGGGGGGGGGGCGGACTATGGGGGGAGGGATGTTGTGTCCGCTGACCACCACCGGAGGTCAGCGCACACTCCTGAGCTTCAGTCCGGCACAACAATGGGACTAGGATTCTAGTCCCTCCACTGGGGGGAACCAATGGGACCTTGGCGGGAGATTTAAACCC